ATAATTGCCAATCCTTGAGCCTTCGTCAACAGTGGGGTGTGGCGTGGTGCAGGCTCCCCCAGTGCTTCCGCACGCTTGTGCTTGCACCACGAATTTGGTCCCGCGGGGCAAAAGTTGTGGCTACTGGCACCATCACTGGAGCAGCAATGAAAATACGATGCCCATATGGCAGTGTACATATTTCGGACACTGTCCTTGTTGCTCGTGATGGCGATCTTGTAATATGTTTGTAGTTTTATTATTGTCGCATCTTTCAGTTTTTCGCCTCGTGGCAGTGGCGTTGCCAATTTCCGTAGGGCAATTCCCAAGCGCTTTGCAACGTGGTTCGTGCACTCTTCTTTGTCAATGGGGGTGTCACAGTATACATTTGCCTCGCAGACTGCAGTGTAGGCCTTGCTGTCACCATCACTTAGGAAGCTGGTGAATCGCAGTGGAGTTTCATAAGACAAGGTCCTCTGCCATATATTGACAGCTGCCGCAGGTTCCATTGCATGGGATGAGCAGTCGGTGTTTTTTTGGCAAACTGGAAGATGAAAAGCTCGCCATATCTCTTCATCCTCCCCAAGGTCCCTGTGTATACTGCAAGCATGGCAGTAGTTCGAAAGAACTTCAAAATCGAGGCAGAGCCCCGTATCCAGGGACACGACTGTGCCCACTCCATTGTGGCTTTTATGACCTCTTTTCTGCCAGGTGCCATCAAACATGACTGGCACATCTCTGCCGCCGACTGCGTCCTTCGTGATGTTTCGTGCCTGGTGCAAGTTTTTGCTCACTGCCGTCATCGCCGCACCATGGAGCTTCTTGCAAATGCCGTTGAATGTCTTGTGATGCATCGGGCTCGGAAGACTGAGAATCGCACAAAATCGTGAAAGTTGGTCGTGGCCTGCGCCTATAGCGCGTGCTGCCAGAACTGCCTTCACGTTTACAGCAAAGCTGTCACGCGAGCTGCCACTGTCAAAACGAGCGCTCGTTCCTTGGTCCCCGGCCGAAGCAGTACGTCTCGACGTGTGCGTGAACGAAAGTGCAGATTCAGGGCAATCAGAATTTTGACAGCACAGTTCGAGGAATGCCGAAAGTCCTTTGCGCTTTCCAGCTGCCTCTCGCACGCCGAGCTTCCGTTCGCGGCAGGTTGGGCATTGCGCACCCGCCACAAGTGCCGTCAGCGCATCGATTTCGCAAAGCAGCATGTTCGCAGTAGCAGCATCTACCGGTCTACGTTCACTCTCGAAGAATACAATCTTCCTTTGGGATGCACTGACGAATTCCACGGCAGCGGCTATTTCACAACCACTGTCGCAGGGTTCGGTGACGGTGTTAGGCCTATCCGAAGTCGGAGCGTCGGGGCGTTGGTCGGGGGCGACATCGTCGTTCGCTGTCGCTTTGCGAAGCGTCCGACGCCGTTTCCCTCTATACTTGTGGCGAGTTCTGAACTTTCGATTATCTGAACTGCACTTCTTCGGGCTTGCCATGACGCAAAAATGCAGAGAAACGCAGAAAAACTCGATCGCGACGTCCGAGGCTTCGCTCTTTTGCCGGAGAGATAGGAGGGGGAGGAGCGTAGAGCGCACCGCCGTCCAATGGCGGCCTCGCGCTGTGTGCCGTGATATTCAAAACGCGTGACGTACGCGTTGTTTTTCTCGTTTTTTGTTTATTCTGCGTGAAGGCACGAGACTGGCTACTAGTGGATTATGAAGGATACGGCCTTCGCAGCATGCGTGCACGATTGCAAATGGCGGCCAACGCGTCGTTTTCGCGACAGGACGACGCGAACTTCGCCGTTTTTCGCGACTTTCGCGCATTTCTCGCGTCACCGCTGCCCACTTGGAAGCATTTTTTGATAATTTCTCGTGCGAATTTCAGCTTGATATTTTCAGAAGTAATAGATTATAGTCCAAGGATGCCAATACAGCCGGAAAAAAAAAAAAAAGCGAAAATTTTCCGGAAAACCGCGACTTTTCGACCCACGTCTCCCCTTAAGAACTTCAGTCGCAAAATTCCCCGCAACAGGTGCAGCGGTGGTCCAGCCAGATTATGATTAGGAGCAATTTTTGGAGCAAAAATGTATGTTTTGGAGCTGATCTTGAGCAGTACATACTGTGCTTCAGAGCAAACTTGAGAACAGCCAAAAGAGAATTTAGGATCACTTGGAGCAGAACTTGTATAAGTTTTCAGGGAATATTGTTATTAATATGTGCATACAGGAAATGCAGCCGCAAAGCAGACAGAGCCAACATCCAGAGAGCAATAAATAATCATATTGTTAGCACCAAAAGATGTCACCATAGAGAAAAAAAAGTCAAGGGCGGACACTCGGTAAAATCTGGCCTGAGGTAGTACGTCACGACTACCTAAAAACTAGTGCTCTCACCAAACGCCAGAGGAAGCAAGTGAGAAAAACAAAAAGTTATCATCAATCTAACAAATTGCTTTAACAAAATAATATTTATATGCCTATATTTGGCATTGTCTTTACATAAAAAAAACAATTTATTCAACAGACCTAACGTGGTTATTTTTGTTAAGCCACACTGCCATAAAGAGCATCTACAATTCGCGCCGATTCGAACACCCTCCATATCAGCATGCGACAAGCCCACGCATACAGCAGGAAGGTTTCATCGACGTCGGCTGCTTCGGTGTTTTTGTTTTGTGAGACAGCAGGTGAGGCACGTTTTCAAGTGGAGCTTGTTGAATGACATGTTGTTGACCTAGTTGGGTCATTGATCCAGGAAATGGTTACAACTGCGCAAATAAGACACCATGCAAGAAACATAAACACTCCCACATACGATGCACTTCGTGTGGGGCGTTTTTCTGTTTCTTACGTGGTGTCTTATTTGTGCACTTGTAACATTTTTCTGAAGCTTATGACGACGGCCAGGTTCGCTAAAAAAAGTATGCGGCTGTATGCAGCGGCAAGACGTGAACATTATGCAACACATGCAGTATAGCAAAGCATTTCTGTGTGATGCTCTTCCCGTTTTCTGCCTTTTATATTGTTACGGGTATGAAAAGGTACCTCAGGCACGGGTGCAGAAATGTCGCACAAGGGATGAAGACGACGATGTTGTTGTGGGGCCGTGTCTGGACTGCCCTGTTGTCCTGCATCCTTGCACACTGTGTGCAGTGTTAGCCCAACCGGCGTTAACTCATTAAATACTCCCCCGTTACAATATGCTCAACCTCCATTTTGCCTTGGAATAAAAACATTGCAGACACTCTTGTCTCTTTGATGTATAGATTGACCACTTGTTCCAAAAAAAAAAAAAGCATTATAAATAAATTCATAGTGATTTACGACTACCTGCATTCTTTTCTATTATAACGTAGTCAAAATAAAAATTACGCCATGACCTCAATTAGCACGAATAATTTCGAGCTAGACAAAATAGGGAATCGCTAAATGAAAACGTCAATCCTTGTCATTTGGGCAGAGAAAAGTGGTCTGAAATCATTAACTTTAACCGTAGCCAAACACCGGTTGCGTAAAGTAATATAAAATTTGCACCAGTGAAACCAAAACGGGAAGCGCAGGCCAGTTGCTCTCAACAACCACCAGGTGCGCTACGGTCAATAGGGCTGCCGGGGTCTATGGGAGTGTTCACTCTCAACTTGTTTTTTTATTTCTCTAAGGTGTCCCATTCTGACTTCACTGCAAAGCACGAAATATGCGTTAAAGTATAGTAACAAGGCAAGCATGGCACATACAGTTTCTTTGAATAAGAGGTGTCGTTAAACAAAAATGCCCTCGACTATTTACTTTTTTCAGTTTTTTTAGGGGAGGGGGCGAAATCAACGACCCAACAAACTACCCCCCTCCTCCCTCAAAATTACCACCACTGGGATCCACCATTGACAGGGCTCTTAAGAGTGGGTCCGGGGAAGATATTTTAGGGTTCACTAAGTGCTGAGGACCAATGTGACTAGATATGCTTTGTTTTCTTAATTAAAAATTTTACACTGTAGTTTGAACTTAACGAATGACCAACGCAGTTAGGTAGTCTGTAAACAGCAATAAATCCCCGTGGCAGTGCTGCTCTAGGTTCACCAGTGAGCAAGTGGTGAAAGAAACAGTGGCCACACAAAGCATGCTCGTGAGCGTAGTTTTCAAGTGAGAGGCAATTCTTTGAGAAGATTTGCTGGCCGGGGAATTTTCTTTTACCTTTTTTTTCTATTGAAGACACTACCAATTGTATTAATGGTGTTTAGGACACGTGAGAGCACTTGTTCTCCATTTGCGGCTGACTACGCGGCTCAGTTTCTTGATTGCAAAACCGTATTACGTTGGTTTTGCAATCAAGATGCGCAACAAGCACTAGGATGTGTGAAAGCAGCATTTGCACACCGTGCCAGACACGCACTATGCACAGCGTAGTCAAGAGGCACCTACATTTTTTTGCAAATTACAAACTTTCACACAACCTAATCCACATTTTCGTGGGGATGACGTTCACAGCGTGCAATGCAAATAGCTATTGCCGCTTTGCCCGTGGTGGCTGCATTACTGTATACGCGGAGTACGGCTGAAGGAGCGACCGGTGAATGACGAAAAAAAAATCACTTTTCTACTTGTTCTCTAACAAATAAAAGTGTTGATGGCATGCTAAACTTTCAACATGAGAAACACAGGCAGCAGAGCAGAGACGTTGATTAGGATAAAATAATGAAGAAAAAAAATTCCTGAAATGGAGCGGGCGGAGAGCATCACCGACATTTTCCAAAAGGTCTGGTTGTGTTTGTTGTGACCAAGAATAGTTTTGGGCCACAGAAGGTCCGAAGCCATGTAAACAGGTGAACTAATGAACTTTGGCACATTTGATGCAAGCTGTACTCAAATTTGTGCAGCAAAGCTCAGGGATATGAAATTGTAGCAAAATGACGCAATTGGTGCAGATAGACAACTGCAGTTGTCTGCATGCCATGTTTTGGTCACAAAAGTTGTCAAAGCTCTGGAATTTTTCCTATTAACAAAAAAAAAAATAAAAATAAAGAGAGCTTACATGAAGCTCAGCCACCTTTGTTGACAGTATCTCGATTTGATCAAATATTGGAAGAGACAGTGCTTTTGTCAAAACAGGGATAAGTGGCAGCACAGCAGGCACCAAGGGAACTTCCTGAGCTTCTCTAACATTTATCAGGATCCCTGCAGTGGACAAAGCATGTAACAATTCAAGGTTAGAATCTCTTATGCGACACTCATCACTACAGGCAAAATTTTTAGGCATTAAAAAGTGCATTTCAGGTGCCAAAAATAGCCTGGAAAAATGTTTCAGGTGCCTAAAATAGGCAGGCAAATATGTTTTAGGCCTATAATGTTGTAAATGTGGGCACAATAAATTTTTACATAAATGCAAATAATTTCGAAGCAAAGGTACACATGAACTGTAACTATGGCAGGGAAGGGGGAAAATGCTACTGCTGATAATGGAACAAAGGTGCTAACAGTTTAACATGGTCGTACATTTGTCTTTTTCCCACACAGCCCGCAGAATACAATCTGCCCTTATAATCTCTAGCGTGGTGAGTCATGTGTCCCCCCTCTAACCAACGCACTCCTGGGTCCCTTTCTTTTCAGCACGGCTGAAAAGAACACCATAGGAATAGATAGGCAGGTCACTAAAAGACCAGAAGGAAAGAATGCCTCGCTTTGGTCGGGTCTGATAAGATTGTGAACACAAAAAGAAGAAACCACGAGACAAGAAACCACGAGACAAGTGCAGACTATCAACTAAATGTTGGTTTATTGTCAGAAGTACACACATATATTAAAATGCAGACACATGGTGAAGATTGCAGGCTGCAGTGAGATAATCTATTTGAAGTTTATGTAACTTCACTGATGGTCTTGCCACACACGTCACTGAACTTATGAACATCGAAGGCCTCGACAACCTCTCGCACATTCTTACCTTTGAGCCTTGACAGCACCTTGATTTAATTAAGATTTAACACTTAGGTTTCATTCTTGGCATTTTATATATAAATGCACTTTCAACAGTAAACTGTCAGTTGACAGTCGGTACTTGTCTCGAGGCTTTTTTCGCGTTCCTGTTTCTTTTTCTGCTCGAATGCCATTCACAATGAAATACCAACTCACTCAAATGCTTTGTTCTTTAACCCCCTGTCATGTACACAATTGTGTACACCACTTGTTTTTGTTACATAGTTTACATAGTTGTATGAACTAGTGAGAAAGAAAGAGCCAGATACATCAAGCTTGGGGTAATTGAACCTCCTGCATAATAAATTTGTCTTCATTCCACTTCATTTTGCCGTGTAATGTTGAGTACGATCCCTTTGCTAAACGCACTGCCACATTCAACAAGTCGTTCAGCATGCCGCTTCCTGCGAGCCATGTCTGAAGTAGAATTTTCCTTTGCTCAAAGCAGACGTAATCGAAAACAACTTCCCATTACGTTTCTAGCCTGAGATTTGATTCTATTTATGCAAAAACAAGACTTGAATGATTTCGGAATAAACAGATATGTAATTATAATTTAGTTGGAAATAAACACGATAATACCCGAAAAATTTGCATTTATCACATTCCTTTAGCTGTAATAGAACATCGAGTGCCTCAAAGTAACAATGTACCAATTCGGTGGATTTATAGACATTTATAGGTGGCCCCACAGCGCTGGTCTAGTGGCTAAGGTGCTCGGCTGCTAAACCGCAGGTCACGTGATGGAATTCCGGCTGTGGCGGCTGCATTTTTGATGGAGGCGAAAATGCTGTAGGCCAGTGTGCTCAGATTTGGGTGCACGTTAAAAAACCCCAGGTAGTAAAAATTTCCAAAGCCATCCAATATGACGTCTCTCGTAACCATATGGGGGTTTTGGGACGCTAAACCCCATACATCAATCAATCAATTCATTATAGGTGGCGTGTGAAAGCGTTAACTCACATGAGGTCAATTATTCCTTGCCAGTGAGTGCCTTAATTAAGAAGTAAATTACCTACAAAACAAAAGCCACGTGCATGTCACATTTTTCTCTCTTTTGATCTTTGCTCTCCTTTGCTGTGATGGCTCTCTGGGAAATGTGACAGAAGTGGCTGTCGAAACAGACCAAGGAGGTTATCTGCAACATCTATACTATAGTGATGTGTCGTCAGCTCGAATTATCAACGGATGCTGTGTGTCGGACTGCCACCGAGCTAGCTCGCTGGAGTGGGTGCATGAATGATGGCTCGAATTAAGGCTGAAGCTCTACGAGCTCTGGGTGGTTATCCAAAGCGGAAAAATTTTTTGGGCGAACACGACAAGACACCAATGCATGACCTGTAGAACGAGGGTGCTGCATGCAACATTTTTACATCCACAGGGATAAAAAAAAAAAAATCAGCAGCCATCGCAATCTGTGTAAATGCATGACCAGAAAAACTCCATAAGAGAATTTATATAAGTCTTTTTTGAATTAAGTTTCAGCTCTCTTAAACTATTTCGATTTAGCAGTATCATGATATTTGCATCTTGGCTATGATGTGTGCTTGGTAACGTACATCGTCTTGTACAGCTTGCATAGCTATTGTGCTGCACCACAACCAGGTGCCTGTTTTGGCTGTACCAGATTTCCGGACTTTAAGAAGCATACCCGCATATCCTGGGCTGGGGTATTCGCCAAATACTTTTTTTGACTGAACTCAAAAACTACACAAAACCTAGGCTTCACTGATACAAAGGCTGCAAAATGTGAAAACCTTATGACGAGCAGACAATTTTCCGAATATTAGCCTATAATATATATAATATATATGGCAATTAGATGTGCCTACGCACGCTGATTGGAATGTCATTCTTCCATTCACATTTTGCACTTATATGTCTTTCTAAATACGCTAGCACTGTGAGCAAGCGAAACCGAAACTGGAAATGATATCGGATGCGATATGCCAAACTATTTATGTACAAACACAAATGTATAAAAATTGAACTCCATAGAGTTCTGAACAGTCAGTGTTGCCTGGTAACATTAAAAGGGTCTAAAACTGCATTGAGTGCAGTTTGCGGTTAAATAGTGCTAATACAAGTGCCCATTTTGAAAAAAAGAAGGCATTTATAAGAATTCAGGCACAAACACCAAAAACAGGCATATATAGGCACTAAAAAACTCTAAAAGCTCTTCATAATCTCTGATTCATGCTCATATATCAAAGTGGGACAAGAGAAATGCAAGGAACAAAATAGGCATTTGCCTATAATCTGGTCTCTGCTGATCAAGGTCCAAACTGCAATATACTTACAGTTTAATGCCAAATACCTAGCATGCCTGCCTGCTTATGAAGAACAAAGGGTGGTACAACAAATGCACACATTGAATAAGTAGCATTTTTCTTATTTACAACTACATTAGCACATTTGCTCACACAAAGAGTGGCACAAAAGATGTACATATTGAATAACTAGCCTTTTTATTAACTACAACCACATTAGCACAGTTCTCCGCAAAAAGAGTGGTAAAAAAGGTGCATATATTGAATAAGTAGCCTTTTATCAATTATAAGGACACACTTGGCCGGTGTTTGCCATTGGTGTCAGTTGCCGCCACCACGCCCCGTATATGTATAGGTATCTATATATATATATATATAGAAAAGCAACAAAGAAAAAATTCTGAAAAATACCTTCTGGTGTACGAAATCAAACGTGCGACTTCTCGCTTCGGAGTGCATGTTGTTCGCCACTGAGCCGCTTGCACGTCCGTGTTGTTCGCCCACTGAGCCAATAGCACGGAAGTGGTCCCAGCTAACAAACGTGTAATGTATGCCCTCTGAGATTCAGGAAGTGCCCATAGCCACTCGATACGCTTACAACATTGATTATTTGAGTATGGCCCTCAAAAACTGTGCAGATTTGATTTAAGTACTGTGCAGCTAAAGCTTAAAAGGGACACTAAAGAGGGAAACGATTTTTCGAATATTAGTACAGTACCACTTCAAAATCCAAAAAACACCACTCTTACTGTGACATGACGCTTGGTACACGAGAAAACATGCGAAAAGAAAATGCAGGTGAATGCGCCACCGACAGATTCCCGCACCAAACACCGTGACGTAGTAAATTTTGAAGGCGTCTACAAAAACCTACATAGCTTCTACTCAATAAAAATGAAGTACATTGTTATCTGTGGGTGCCATTGACCTAGCATATGAAGTGTCAGAAAGTTTCACCGAGCCAATGTCGTGAAAGTACAAAAAATACATTTTGAAATTTGTTACGCTGCACAAAGATTTTGGTACAAAATTAAAAAAAAATTGAACTTCAACCTTGATTTTCACTGCTAATATTGAACTTTTGACACGGAAACTTGAGTCATTAGAGTTGTCAGAACGCAGTTGCCAATCTAAACCAAGTCATCGTTTTTCTTTACACAAATCTAAAGCGAATATAGAAGCATATTTTGGAGTTTACATGCTACAGAGCACTTGATAGACTCGAGTTAGCCAACAAGTGCATTCGGAAGAGCAGCCATTTTTTTTTGTAGGCTCAAATGCCTCACTAGCGAAGTCTGCCATGTACTTTCAACAGCCCTCCCGCAGATGGCAGTGGCTCATGGTCTATGGCACCGCGCCGTTACGGCAGACTTGCAGCTAGTGTGAGCGGGCCATTAAGGAACACCAGATAGTCGAAATTTCTGGAGTCCTCTACTATGGCATCTCTCATAATCATCTAGTGGTTGTGGAATGTATAACTACAGATATTCTTATTATTATACAATTCTAGTCTTATTGTTTCCAGACAGTGGTGTAGCCAGGAGATAGAACACAATACACCCCCCCCCCCCTCCCAATTTCAAATTTTTGTTTACCAAAGCATACAGAGCCCAACATTACACTCGACCATATTTGCCTGGCCCCCACTTCAGATCAAAGTGGCGCCTTCCTGTTCTTTTCGAAAAAAATTTTTGCTTAAGCCCCTTTCCAGACTACCTTTATTTTTCAAGCCTTTCTGTTTTTTTAAGGAAGATTGATGGTATTTGGCATATAATTGAAAAATGCCCTGCATGTATAAATGTAATAGATATCATGTGATAATTACCAGCTGAGAGTACCTGAAGCAGTATGACACCAGGGTATTTAGATTCATCTTCGAAAATTCCAGCTCCAAAGTCATTCAAACATTCAGCCAGTTCTGTGTTATCCTCAGACACTGCATGCAAGCAATGACCTGCAAAATAGACCACAAAAATGGAAGCTCGTGATTTTAAAGGTTGACGAGAAAGGGAGAGAAGGAACTGCAGAACAGATTAATGAATTCTGTAAAATCGGTGGTGGTTACATATAGTACTTTTGTTAAACTAAGATTCAGTCTGAAAGTTTTGGCCATTGGCAACACCACATTTGGCCAAACCTCTAATTATTTCAATCCCAAACATTGCACACTTCTATCTGCCAAAAAAACAAAACCCTTCATTCATACCCCTTCTTTTGTACACTTTTTTTATGTGGAAAAGGAAGAGGGTGCGACAAGTGCAGCACCACACGAAAACGTAATAGTGTGCCCAAAAGCACAGTTGCAGAAACTAACCCAGCATACTTTCAGCAGTCAATGCACAAGTTATCAGATCACCTATACTCAAAGGGACACTAAAGAAGAAAATGACTTTTCTGTTATTCATAAAGCACCCTTCAACAATATGAAAATTACTCCACTCGCCATTGACCAAGGCGTTCGCTGTGGCGTAAGAGTCGGCTTTGCCGCAAGTAGCCATTTGGCAAGCGATAAATTGCACAACATAGGTCGGCACTTTGAGAGACTACTCACTCATACTCACTCACCACAATTTTTTCAGCCTTCACCCTCACTCACGTTCCTACTCACGTCTACTCCCACTCATAAACCCTCACTCACGTTCATACTCACACCTACTCGCACTCACTTCTACTCACTCACGTTCATACTCACTCCTTCTCACACTCAAAGTACTCACTCACATTCATACTCGCTCCTTGTCACACTCAGAGTACTCATTCACGTTCATACTCACTCCTACTCACACTCATGAGTACTCACTCACGTTCAAACGTACTTCTACTCACGCTGAAAGTACTCATTCACGTTCATACTCACTTATACTTAGAGTACTCACTCATGTTCATAATCACTCCTACTCACACTCATGAGAACTCATGTTCAAATTTACTCCAACTCACACTCTAGGCCCTCACTCACGTTCATACTCACGACTACTCACACTGATGAGTACTCACTCATTTCATACTTACGACTACTCACACTTGTGAGTACTCACTCACGTTCGTACTCACGCCACCTAGCACTCATAGGCCCTCACTCACGTTCATACTCACGACTACTCACACTGATGAGTACTCACTCATGTTCATACTCACGCCTACTCACAGTCACTCACGTTCATACTCACGCCTACTCACACTCATTGTTTATGGCTCACGTTCATACTCACGACTACTCACACTCTTAGAGAAACACAGACTGCTGGGCGAGTTGGTAATTCATTTTAACTGAGGTGCGCGAAAAATTGAAGTACAAAAGGAAGACACCTCGAGACAGTGCACCATGTCCAGGTGTCTCCTTTTTGTACTTATATTTTTCGTGCACCTCAATTAAGACTCATAGTTACTCACTCACCTTCATAGTCACGCCTGCTCAAGATCATAGGCCCTCACTCACCTCCGCACTCACATGAGAATTCACCTTCATACTTACGCCTACCCATACTCAGGCGCACTCACCCACGTACTTTTACATTCACATACTCATCATCATCACAGCAGGACAAAGGCCTCTCCCCTGTTCCGCCAGTCAACTCGGTCCTTTGCTTGCTGTTGCCACTTCATACCCGCAAGCTTCCTAATCTCATCTGCCCACCAAACTTTGTCTCCCCTTTTCCCGCTTTCCTTCTCTTGGAATCTACAAAATAACCGGCAGAAAACGAAAGTAATGAACAACAACCTCGAAAGAAAACAGCGCTTCGAGATAGGTGGCAGTGCACTTGAAGTTGGAAAAGGTATATACGTCTACTTAGGACAGGTAGTACCTACGGAGCCGAGCCACGAGACTGAAGTATCTAGAAGAATAAGAGTGGGGTGGAGAAGATTCGGCAAGCATTCTCAGCTCATGGCTGGTAGATTGTCACTATCCCCTCAAGACGAAGGTATATAACAGCTGCATCTTGCCGGTACTTACCTACTGAGCAGAAACCTGGAGGCTTACAAAGAGGGTTCAGCTTAAATTGAGGACGACGCAGAGAGCAATGGAAAGGAAAATAGTGGTTGTAACCTTAAGAGTTAAGAAGAGAGCAGAGTGGATCAGGGAACAAACCGGGGTTAAGGATATCATAGTTGAAATGAAGAAGAAGAAATGGACATGGGCCGGGAATGTAGCGCGTAGGCAGGATAACAGCTGGTCATTAAGCATAACTGACCGGATTTCCGGAGAAAGCAAATGGGTTAGGGAAGACAGTAAGTTAGGTGGGCAGATGAGATTAGGAAGTTCGCGGGTACATAATGGCAGCAGCAAGCACAGGACCGAGTTGAGTGGCGGATCATGGGAGCGGCCTTTGTCCTGCAGTGGACGTTGTCAGGCCGATAATGAATATTAACATTGAGGTAGCGTTACGTGTACTCAGGTTACTCAATAAACAATCGAGCTGAACAATTGTCGCTTCCTTTAAAGGTTGGTAGGTTCCACAAACAGGCAATGACTCAGAGCAATTACGACGCACCTGCACATTCGTGTGCCATGACGCGTAGGAGACGCTGAGACATCGTTTAGAATCTCAGTAATGTATTACAAGCACCCAAAACGCGCTTTCGTAGGCTACGACGCACGCACGCGAAATAGAGACGCTCTCGACAGCTTAAGTATACTACATGGCCGCCACTGATTACCCGCCAGAACCCAAGACGTTGCCATGCCATCTGGCTCGGCTGCTTCATTCGTTCCCCTGCCCCAAGCTCCTTCTGACTGCACTAGCGGGACAGGCGGGCGCCGCGGCCACCCCGGCCACCCGGCCACTGGTAGGTGTTCTGTGGCCCGGCGCGACCGTCGAGACGGCGCCTCCCCTCTCTGCCTCGCCTTCAGATGGAATGCGTTGCGTACGGCAGTTTTGCATTCGAGAAAGTGTGCGCATCTTCGAAGATCTTTTCCTTCATCTCTGGGTCGCGCTCACGCGGAGACTTCGTTGGCTCCGTGCCGGCACTGACGATTGCAGGGGGCCTTATTTATGGATCTGCGGACGCGGTTAAGGTTCATTGGCAGTGTGGGTACGCAGGATTATCGGGGATAGCCGAATGAAAAGGTAATTAACGAGTTGCATTATGTGTGCTTTTGTACTAGCCCGCGTTATGTGAATGATAGAATAAATTATCACGGTTGATTGGGCACTTATTGCACATTGTGTCTGCACTGTTGAAGGCATAATAAGCTGCCGAAAACTGAAGCGAGGGTAGAGATTGAAACGGCGATGCGAACAGGGTCCAATTACGCTATCGCATACTATACTATTGACGGCGAACCTCAACCGTCCTCCAAGCTTTCCTTTTTCTTAATGGGGCACTGAGAAGGCGAAGTTTGCACACAGCTTCGCGTTTGAGAGGTCATGAGATCACTTAAGGTTTTTGTTCAAGGCAACCTTCACTTGAGGGACAATGCAGAGATAGAAACTGCAAAATCGCTGCGCAAAATGTGCGTCGCGCACACAATGTGCTTTCTCTAGCGGGCCATTTCAGCGTTGTTTTTTTTTGTCGCTTGTGCAGTGCATTTATTTTTTCTGAACCGGCTCACGCGGTGATTTTTGTTAAAGGGCTTCTCAAGACCTCGTTTTACATGTATTACAGCGGGTTGCGTAGACTGAACGCGCAAGAGGTAAGTGCAGCAAGAACGGTAGCTATAGGGACAGGCAGTTCAAAGTTATTCAGCCTAGAAAATTCAAATTACAATAAAATGGACGGCTACCCTCAACTCGAGTTTTGCGCAGTCACCTCGCCCCCCCCCCCCCCCCCCCAATCTGATGTAGGATGGCTCCCCCAGTTTCCAAAGTTTCCAAACTAACTGAAGGCTTTTACGTACAGTAAGCTTGCATGCCACATGCCATAGTGCCCGTTATTTCCAATGTATTGAGGACGCCGTTGCGATGGTTACAAATATTTATCACACTCATAGTAACTCACTCATGTTCCTACTCGTTGCTACTTACACTCACAGCAACTCACTCACCTTCGCAGTCAAGTCTACTCACACTCATGAGTACTCACCCACGTTCGTACTTACTCCTAATCACATTCATGAGCTCTCACTCACTCCTAATCACACTCATGAATACTCCCTCACGTTCATACTAACGAATACTTACACTCATCAGTACTCACTTATGTTCAAACTCCTACTCACTCACGTGAGTATGCCGAGCTATGTTGCACAAAAATAGAATGCTGGTGGCAAATTGTTGCATAAAATGCAGTGACATCATACATTTTAATGGTGGTTACAAAGGCCTATGTAGCTCCTTATAAGTTAAAATGGAGCCCCATTTCTCCTGATGGGGCCCGAGACTTGACATACCAAGTTTTGGAAAATTTCATTAAGCCACTTATGGGGAAACATACAAATCAGTGTTGAAATTCGTGACATGATGTGCACGAATTTCGTCCCGAAATTTAAAAGTGACACTTTCAATTCGATTTTATACCTGCCAAATTCAAGGATTCTAAACATGGGAGATTTGCGCAACATGGGGGTTTGATTTATCTCCCTCTTTTTTAGCCCCAAAGTAAAAAAAAATGCAAAAAAGGGGTGGGTGGAGCGTAAACATGTGTGTTAGGTTCTTATAATGACTTGGAGTGGCTGAACACACAAGGGTAGGGTTTCCCAACAACAGTAAAAGGGGTGAGTTTCAAAGGGGGGCAAACTTACTTGTATCTCCCGAAACTTAGTGTTATCAAAACAACTAGCAAAATCTTTTTTTGTCAAAAGAATCTTCATATGTCTTCCTGGGACACGCGTAAATGGACGGGATGATAGTGCAGCTGGCTGCTGGGAAAGCGTGAGTCGAAGCTTCGCTTGATACCAACTGAAAACTGAATACCAAAGTATAGCCAAAGTATGCAGGTCGACAGGAACAACGTATGTAACTAGATTCTTTGGACACGAATGCCAAAACACTTCTTGCCTTTTTTACGTCTGTA